CTTTGCCTGCCGACCTCCATATCCCAAGGAGGACTGTTTTGAATGGGCAGTTACACAGTAATCAATTAACAATCAACTTAGTTAACAATCTAAGAAGTGATAGTCAAAATTGTTTTAGCTATCAGCTCTTCTTTAATTACAGGTGAGGGTGGAAATACCTGGTTTCTAACTGGCAGTTAACAAACACTATAAGACAGGGTTAGCAGGGCTGACAAAGTAATAGAACTGGTCTTACACAATTTTTCCACTGTCCTCTAATTTCTTTCAGGTCACTTTAATAACACCCAAATTATGAAAAGCTAATCGACATAACAATACAGAAGCTGATCAAGATTCACCCTCCTTTCCTCCTTATCTTTCTCTCTTCTACATTCAACAACTTGGTCAAAGTTGGAATGCGGGAGAGAGGAAGAGAATATTGTCCAACAACTCTTCAAGAGTTTCTAAACCTTTTACTTTCCAAACCTCTATTCATGCTGTACAAATAAATTATGCCTTCCTTAAACTTTCTACACATACTCTTCTCTCCCACATGCTTAAACTTTCTTACCTTTCCTTCTACCTACTTATCTCTCTGAGGGACTTTGATTAAAATCCCTTTAAAACTGCACATAGTCCAGCTGCAGCCTTGGGATGCTACCTGGCTGCAAAGGGCATCAAGTTACACAGGACACTCACACACCACACAGACACAAACACAGAAACAGATACAGACAGAAAATGACAGGGAGAATCCAAAAGCTCGGAGAGAATTGTTAGAAATCCCCTGCACAATTTAGGCATCGCCAGCCCAAACTAAGCAGCGATATTTCATCAGGTTTCTTTTCTCTTGTCTTTCCCTTTATATTTTGATGACTCGTTCCAATTCTGGAGTCTACTCCCAGGAGGGCTATCTTCTGGAATGCTAGGAAAATTCTCTCTGCTAGCTGTTTTGGACTGTTCTTTTCCCATGTTTAACAAGTTCTTGTCCTTCCCCAAGGACTCACTCGATGTGGAGGCACAGGTACCAAGACCTTCCCTGCCCCCTCCCTGGTCACCCAGATGCTCACCAGATCTTGCTCCAAAAAGTATCTCAGGGCTCCCTGGATCTTTCGTCTGGGTTATGTGCTCACAACTTATGTGACTGTCCAAAACTCAGTTCTCTCTCTTCTCTCTGTCTACTGTCTTTGCTAGCACCGTTGGAACTCTGTTTGCTTTTGTTTCTGCTTGCAGGTATCTGTCTTTCTTCGGGTCCATTCCTTAAAAGGGAAAGGAAACTCCCAAACCACTCCACAGACTACTGGTAAGTGGCCAGTGGGGGCCTGTCCTAGGACTGGCTGGGAGGCCCTTTCCCAAGTAAAGGGGATCCCAGAGAGCCCCCAACTGTGTGGACAGAGACCACCCACTCAAAATAAAAACAAAGACTTGAAAGATACCTTGAAAGCAGAAAGGAGTTTATTGCTTTCTCATGAGAAAGGGTACCGCCACTAGTCACCATTGCCAGCCAGGAGAGTATGAGTTGGGAGCGGTACCCTGGGCTTTTTATCCCCTAACGCGATGCCCCCTCTCACTCTCTTACCCCTTTCTCCTTTGACTGGGTACTCAGGGTGTACATTCTAAAAGTAGCAACTAATACCCAATAGAAGCAAATATGCCGTGTTTGGACTAGATGCACATGTGCACTAGGAGCTAGGAGCAACCAGGCAACCAAGCTCCCCCACCCATGCTGACCTGGTGCTGGAGAAATAGAAACTTTTGGGGGAAAATGCAAACTGAACTCAAGGCTTTCTGGAGGAAGGAAACTTAGGCCTGTGGGAACTGCACTGCAGGCCATCTCTCACACTCAGGTAGAGTGCAGGAGAGAGCTAGGAGTGTAGCAGGGAGATACTAATGAGGGAACTTCACTGTGAGCCATCCCTCACATCCTCAGGGGACTTCAATTCTCTCCATGTGTTATGGACCTCTCTGCTTAGACTCTGGGAAACCTGGTTACCCAGAGGGTTGCCGGTCTGGGCTTGCCACACCTTACGGGCATCCCGCTGGGTTCCAAGCCTTCCAGACCTGGGTCTGTGCCCACAGACTTACATGACTGAAAATTTCCTTCACTTCACATGGGTGGCCATGGTGGTCTTCTAGTTACCAGTGCTGCAGAACTTTCATTTTGCTACTCTGAGATTTCCCTTCGGGCTTTTCCCTCCTCAGCTGAGACCTGGAGGCCACCAGTAAAGTTTGGCATCGCCTGCCCCTGAATTAAGGGAGTCCCCAAAAAGGGGGTGAAATCCCGGAGGATTTCCCACAACCATGTGGGACGTGAAGACCCTTACCAATAAATTCCGGAGACTCAGATGTAGCAAAGAGAAAGATTTCTTTATTAGCTTTCTCAAGAAAGGGCACCCTCCCTCTGCCTAAAATGGCTCTGGTGGAAGAGTGCAAGAGTGTGCTTAGCAAGAAAGATTATAGAGACCCCTAACCCCACTCCCCCTCCCTCTCAGTCCATTGATGCAAGCCTTGAGGACACAATCTGTTTGAGGAAATCTACCCAGCAACAGAGAACAGAAACCAGTTTCACAAACTTGCCTGGAGACAAGGAAAGGCTGGAAGTTTCCCAAGAGCAAGCAGTTCAGGTTGGGGGAAGGGCAGTTATTTTTGTTTGCTTAGAAACAGGGTCTGAGCGGGGGAGGGTTTTGAAAGCAATATAGGGACTTATTAACAAGAACTATTGACCCTCCGAGGAGGCTTCACTTCTGAGAGGTCATGTCACATCCCAATTTGTTACAAGCTGTAATGTGTGTGTATTCATATCTTTTTGTTGTATTCAGCATGTGGAGCTAAGTACATTAAACAAACATATAGATAGATATATATATGTATGTATACAAATATATATATGTATACTTTTTTTAAAGATGTTACTGAGAATAATGAATATCGGTGCAAAAAGTTATCGGTAGTCTCAGTGAATCACCCACTCTTACCCTTCACTCACTATACAGTGCTAGAATCATCTCTGTTGCATTCATCTTGCAAATTCCTAAGGCTAAGGACAGTATTATGTTAATAGTCATTAGGATAATATAACATTGTTCTAGGATATAGTAGGGATGTGTTAGAATCTATGGGCTTGAGCTAGGCTTTGATTGAAGGTTGGAGAGGAGATGATTTGGACAGGGCAGGACAAAGTGGTATGTGGCAATGAGGGTTGGGGGCATTTTGGGGCACTGGCCACCTCACCCCCACCCCCAGGAGAATGCTGAAAAGGAAAATGGAGGACACTAAAAATGTAGATTGCTGAATTACAGCACCAAATTTCCTAGGGATACCTGGCCTGTTAAATCCATTCTTTTGCCCTCTTCAGGGTCAGTCCCAGTAAAGACAAACAAAGTTAAATATTTCACCATTTTACCTCAATCAAGTATAACCATGTTGAATAACACTCAGAGCAAAGAATCTTTCTTGGAATGATCCCAAAGAGACCAGCACACACTGAGTTATAATGGAAAGCCCAGTTGGAACAATCCTATACTGAATTACATGTGGATGCTGACACATGGATACATTTTAAACAGGGATGAGCCCATGCTAAGTTGAGAAGGATATAAAGCTTGTCTTCAAGAACTCTCACGTTTTTGACGTTTCCCCTCACCTACATTTTTTGTCACCTTCCTTCCTCTTGAAGGGGATGCCTCGTGGCTCTCTACCACCTAAGGGATTGTCATTAAGCTTCTCACTCAAGTGTGCCCTCCTAGACACAATCCCTGTTTATGTATTATGCAATCCCCAGATTGAATTATACATTTGTCCCTTCTCATCCAGGAAATTTTGCAAGACTGGCAGATTTTGTTCTTAGGAACTGATCACTTTGAACAAAGATATAAATGACTGATGTCACTTCTTTCAGATATCACTTGTTTTAGCTGTACAGGCCTATCCTCACTTAAAAGGCACCTTTTGTTCTGGCCAGAAATTCTGAAGGTCTTCCACCTTCATATGCATTCTTTTGTGAAGGCACAGTAGGCCATCTTTTGCCTCATTGCTTACCAAACTTAATCACTGAATGGGTGGTGCCTCAGAGAAACTGAAACTTGGGAAGGATCTTAGCTTAGAAAGGTCAAGGTCTTTTACTCCATCTGGTGCTGCCTCCAGTGGTCCTGACCTATGTGTTGCTCAGAACTCTGATGACTGTGGTGCAGAGGGTTGGGCTGATGACTTTGCACAGCTCTGTCTTCCTTAAATCCAATTCACTTGCACATCAAAATATCACCCCCCAAATCAGCGGTCCTCTTCTAGAATGAAGGATGAACAAAAATCAATTCCTATAACCAAATTGTATAGGTTAATGTAATAATTCATACATATATATGTATATATATATATATATATGAAATTCATGTGTTATTTATATATTCTAATATATGCACCACTAGGTGGCTATATATACATATGTACATATATAAGTACATAGGTAAATATATATATATACACATATATATGTTCATAGGTACATATATATATATATACACACACATACATATATACACACTTATGTATGTATAAATACAAGGTACTGCAACAGTTACAATCTAAACACTGTATTTTTGTCATCTTTTTAGAAGATGCTTTTTAGAAGCAAAACCCACCTTCTTGGCTCCAAGCAGGCCAGGTTGCACAGTTCCATTGAGGGAGCTCCTAGGAGAACTTGCTAAATAGCAAGAAAGAGATTGCAGTGGAACCTTTCTGAGGAAATTTTGTGGACTCTACATGGACCTTGTGGCCTCCTTCCCATTGACATATATATTGTCTCCATGCAGAACCAGCTGTATCATCCAGAGCATCCTTCCTGTTATGTCTGGAATGGAAGATGAATTTTCAAACCAACCAGACACAAGAAAGTCTGTTACTAACCAAAGAAAAGGGCTATGTCAGATACTAATTGGAAAAATTAGGCCTTTCTTTTCACATTCATCTAGGAATAACAGTGCAGTGGTGGATCAGGTACTCTGAATTTTTTTCCATCTACTTTTCACACTCTTATAATGTATGCCACCGTGCAAACTTGCTTGGGGTTTTAGCATATGCTGTCAATGAAAAAGAAAAAAAAATTCTGTTGGATGTCTATCTCCCCATAATTAATGCGGCTATAGGTTTCACAAATCCTTTTCTTCACATTTTCCAGGAAAACTCACTAGACTTGAATCCTAGCCCCTAGCAACTCTGAAGAAATTAAAAATGAAAGATTTTCTTCTAATGGAAACTAAAATAGATTTAATTTTATTTCAGTACTTACGGTGTGTTTTATGGCTTCCCACAACTGTAGAAATAGTCAGTTAATACTGATTCATTAAAGTCATGAATATATTTCATGACTCATATTCCAAACAGAATGGTCTAGAACTCATTAACAAAATGTCCCCTTTGACAAGAAGCAAGGAAAAAGGGAGAAAAATGCTGAAAATGTTAACTCTACTCCTCACCCTCTTAAGAGAAAGGTCAGTGACCATTGTACTCTATGGTTACTAGTAAATCAGAGAAACTGTACGTACATGTTCATTTATAAAAAAATATAAGTCAATGTAAATTGTTCTAATTCTTTTATATAATCTAGGATTGTACTAGAAGAAGGATCATCCAGTATTAGTCCAAGCCACCAGGAAGAGATAACACACAGCTTTTATTCCCTATGCCTTGAAAAAGGATTAGATTAAGATTCAAGAAGATTGAGGTTTAAATCCTGGCACTGTTAAGAACTTCCTGTGTGACTTTGAATGTTTGCTTGAAAAACAGATAATTTAGGAGAGATATTTTTAGCTAATTTAAATATTTAAAGGATTGTCATCAGAAACTGGTGTCCTACTTAATGCCAAAGGGAAGAATTAGGAAGCCACAAGGTGACATATTCTGATCTAGTACAAAGAGAAACTTCATGACAATTAGAACTTTCAAAAGAAGAATGGGCTACCTTTGAGGTAGTGAGCTCCCTGTCACTAGAAATCTTCAGGCAAAGTGTAGATGATCCCTTGACAACATTATTGTTGAAGGCATTCATGCGTGAGATAGGAATTTGATTTAATCCTCTCTTAGCTCCTCAATAATTCAAAGTTTTTGAATGATTCTTCATTTGGAGGCGTCATAATACAGAGGAAAGTATACTACTCAGTCTTAGTCTTAGGAGACCCAGTTTAGAATCCCAGTTCTGCTACTGTGTGACTTTTTCTTTGTCCACAAAATGGTGATCTCTAAATTCCCAAAAGTTCCACTTTTCAGTGTCATTTGTTCAGTGTTATAGATGAAACATTTTTCTCTTTTCTCTTTCCTTCTCTCTGTCTCTTTCTTCCCTTCTTTCTCTCCCTCTCTTCTCTCTGCTCTTATTGATATAAAAACCAGCTATTAACAGAGGGAAGGCACTAGAATTAAGAACTTACAGGAATGTCTTATTGAAGGTGGGATTTTAGGTAGAACTTTAAGGAAGCCAGGAAAACAAGAAATGGCTATGAAGAGGGAGAGGATTCACTGGTACAACCAGCGAAAATGCGTAGAATTGAGAGGTAGAGTTTCTGCTTTGAGGAACAATAAAGAGGCCAACGTCTTAGGAACTCAGAGTACAGGGAGAGCCTTCCATATTTCCTTCCTTCCTTCCTTCCTTCCTTCCTTCCTTCCTTCCTTCCTTCCTTCCTTCCTTCCTTCCTTCCCTCCTTCCTTCCCTCCTTCCTTCCTCCTTTCTTCTTCCTTCCTTTTTTCCTCCCTTCCTTCTATTCCTTCTCTCTCTCTCCCTCTTTCTCTCTCTCTTACTCTCTGTCTCTCTCTCTCTCTGAAATAAATTTTCATGGTCCTTGTACCCCAATAGGTCTGTCTAGATAGGCACACTCACTTTCCTGTCAACTTAAGATAACCAGCATTTATTAAATGCCAGGTATGTGTCAGTCACTGTGCTAAGCATGGGGGATTCAAAGAAAGGGAAAAGACAGTCCTCTGCCCTCAAGGAGCTCCCAATTCTAATGGAGGAGGAAACAAGCAAACAACTATGTATACACAAGAATAACGTTTCATCTGGTTTCTCAAAAAGGAGGTAAAGACCCTTTGCTGACAGTCATGGTAGCACTGTTTATTGGGGACCATTAATATGTCTAAGGACTAATGCTAGATTAGTAGGGAAGAATCTTGGTGTTACTTGTTACCCATTTGAGTGACTGCAGTGGGGTGGTCTTTTTTAGTTCTATCCATAAGGCTGGTGGTAAAGGCTCATGCACATAGGCTGCAATTTCTCTTTTCAGTCTCCTTTTGATTCACCCCTTGAAGCAATTTCCTCTATGCCCCATGTGCCTTTCAAAAGAACGGCCAACCCAGTTCATAAGGACCATGCAGGACAGCTGGGGAAAGGCAAGAAGACTCTTCAGACAGAGGTGTGTGGATCGTTTACAAACAGAGTTTTTAGGGGAAATTCTTGCTCAGTAAATGTGACAAAATATATGCTGATTAGTGGGTACCCGGAACATGTTACCCATTTTTTTTTACTATACGGCTGGCAGTGTACATTCTGACCATGGTTTCAATAAGATCCAAATCTCTCTCCTCCAAGAAGAAGCTTAGGGTTTTCGTAATGGTAAAGTGGCATTCAGGTAGACTGCCATACACTAGAAAATGAGCAAACTACTTCTTGGCAGGCATGGACCAAATACAACCAACCAATGATTATATGAGGCTTTAATTTTCTTTTAAGTTGTCCCCAAAGCTATTAAAGTGTAAAACTGCATCAAGACTTTTGGGACACCCTGTATGGAACACTATGTAACTCTGCTACAACTTTGTACAGTAGATAACATCACCTACTTTGACATATTAGGAAACTGAGTCTCAGAGAGGTTTCAGTGACTTGCCCATGATCTCACATTGGTTTGTGTTAGAACTCGCCTTTCTGACTCCATACCCAAGACTCGTCTGTGGTAACAAGCTGTCTCTCCTCACCAGTTTGAGCAAAGTAAACAATGAATGTGAGGTAGTTAGATGAGCTCTTCTCCCCAATTCCCCCTGGAAAGGATGAACTCTCACTTTCAAATGTCAACTGTATATCAAACATCTACTTGCGTCTCTGAATGCTTTATCATGGAAAACAGTGATATCAACAAATGGAAAAACAGCAACAAGAAAGCATTGTGCCTCTTGTTCCCTGTTGTATAAAGATCCAGGCTGATACATACATTAGTGTCCATTTATACTGTTGGGCCATTTCGTAGTGCCAAGACCTTTGGTGGGGAGAACTTTCTTGTCTGGCTCTTAAGCAAGTGTGATTACTGAAGAGATGGGGCTTTAGTACCTGGAGAAGTAGTGGACAGGTCCCATCTCCTTCCTGGGTTGGTATCTGGGATGATGGCTTCAGAGGCTGGGCTTGGAAGTCGGCCAGGTTGGTCTAGAGAGTTTTTTTCACTCTATGGGTTCTGGCCTGACTGGTCCCTTAGTGGCAGTTGGTGAGCTGGTGGTGGTGGTGAGGAAGGTGGCCCCTTCCTCTACAATGATGGCTCCTCTCATTTCTGGCTTCAGGACCTGTGCTAAAGCAGGATCAGTGTTCTAGGAGACAGTGATATTCCTAGGGCCCTTGGGTTCAGCATCCTTGGCTATTTTCATCAGAGTCTCATGGGAGGTTGTGTTGGAAGTTCTGGGGTGACTTGATTCCCCTGGCACATACCACCTTCTACCTCTCTCTCCAGGTGCCTTCCTGCTTTAGTTATACTGGCTTGCTTGCCTTGGAAGTGTCAGTTGGTTGGCACTTGGTGGAGACGACTTGTCCCATCTTGATAGAAGCTGCTTCCCTGGATGATGGGGGACTTGAGGATTTCCAGCCAGTTTACAAATCTTTTAAGTTCTATGTGTGCAACACCTTTTTCACATACCCATTCCTCTACTGTATAGTTCCACCACCATGACATCAGGGAGGTGAGGCCATATGTCACTGTGATCTTTGAGAATGGACGACAAACAACACTATTTCCACTACATCCTTTCTGATGCAGACTTCAATTATCACCTGCCTAGAGAAGTAGAGTATTTTCTGACAGGTCCTCTGTTCTCAGTTATGTTCCCTTCCAATCTCTCATTCATACATCTGCCAGATATCTTCTTTGGCCCATAGATCTGCTCATTCCACACTTCTCAAAAACCATCAGCATCTTCCTATTGCATACCAAGTGAAGGTGAGACTCCTTTCCTTAGGCTTTCGTCTTTTCCAAGCCTTTAAGGTCCTCAGTTATCTGGCACCACACTCAGTTTTCAGTCTTACCATATGCAACTTCTCTCCATGTACGCTGTATGAAATCCTGGATAGCCCATTTGTGCCAGAAGCAGGCAAAAGCTGGGTATGGAGAGCAAAGGAGGAAATCAAGATAGACATCATTGGGAGATCAGTATTCTTAATGATTCTAACTTCCTCAATACTGCAAAAACTCATCTTTTCACACTAGTATTCTTGCCAGTGATGCTCTATGGCCATAGGCCATGGCAGACAGCAATCTTGGAAAAACCAAAATGGCAGGAATCCCAAAGAACGAAGGAAATATATGTGGTGAATGTAAGTTCTGTCCTCTGTAATGTATTACTAACAAGGGCTTGGCTGCATGATGTACCAGGAGAGACACCATTTCATGTACAGAGCACGGAAAGGAGGTAGGTTAGTCATGTGATGAGAACCAGGCATAACAAACATGGACGACTCAAGTGCTACACTAGTAAGCATGAAATATTAAATTTCAATTCATCATACATTTATTGAGCACTTACTGGGTGCCAAGTATTGTGTAGGTGCTGGAGATACAAAGGGAAAAATAAGAATCTCCCTGTCCTCAAAGCACTTATGTTCTA